GAAAGTTCTCGCTTCGTGATTTGTTCAATACTTCGAACGTGGCTCGAGTCCGTCCCGACAATCTGTCAGAGCCTCGTGCTGCGGACTCTTTCGCGGACTCTCTCTCTCGCACCGTCACCTCTCATTGGCCAGTGTTTTTCGTTAATAACTCGCAAACGAAGCCGCGGATTGCATTTTCGCAAAGGAAAAAGTTACTTCAAATGACCTCAGCTACCCCTCATTTTCGGCTGTTAAAATAATTGTGGGACACCCTGTATACAGTTTACATCACCGTCGTTGCCCGCTGACGGAACCGGCGAAAATGTAAACCGATATCTTAGTATCTTAGTACTAAGTAAACTATAGATTAATTTTTGTTCGAGGCTAAAATTTCAACAGGATTCATCTCGTTGTTAGGCTCACGGCGCCATCTGCTTCCATCTCTTCGAGGATTGCTTCCTCTGCTTCTAACGTCCGGCTCCGCGGTCGCCGCAATCCACAACTCCCTCGTGATAAAAATTATGTTGCAATTTTCTCACATATCGAATTGTTTGGATTTTCGGGAACTCTACCCTCAAGGTCCGCACTGTTTCGTTCGTATCTCCGTCGCATTCCACGAAAACCGAAAAGATACGATACTGTTCTGGGAGGAATACAATGCGACGTTGACTCGAGAAAAACTGAAGAAATCTTTACTGTTATCGGCTCAATTAATAATTAAAACAGCTGTCACGGTTAAACTATTTTTCGGTTCCGAAAAATTAGGAAATATTTTTCATACGTTCTAAAATAAAGGTGAACAGCGTTCTTCTTAAAAATATCACTGTCACGTAATAAAAAAATCCGGAAAGTTCATGCTCCGTGACTTGTTCAACAATTCAAACACCGCACTAATCCGTCCCGACCTTCTGCTACGAAACCTCGCCTCTCATTGGTCACTGTATTTTGTTAATATATCGTAAACAAAGTCGTGGATTGCATTTCGCTCAGGAAAAAGTTGCTGCAAATGACCTCAGGAGCCCCATTTTCTCTCAGAAATACGCTAATTTTAGAACACCCTGTATATTACGAACATTGTTCCGAAACTAATAGCTTGATTGTTTCTTTGAGAAGTGGTACATTAGTTCTACTTCTGGACACTTGAAACCTTACCTTAAACGCAACTTTACTTGCTCGAATTTGTTCAAAATGAAGAAATTAACCAATATTATCATGAAAATATAGACAGTATATTGGAACTTCTGGACTTTTTGGAACTGCTGAAACTTCTGGATCTTCTCTTTTGGATTTAGCCGGGTTCTTTCTTTCTGGAAGTCTTTCTACTTTTTCTGTATCTCCCCTAATCCTTTCCTCTTTCATGGGCCTTCTATTTTCTTTCGCCTTTCTCCTCTTAGAATCGTCCCCCTTGTTGGAAGGCCTGTACCTGCTGCCACCTTCTCTGTATAAGCTCCTTTATCATCGTTAAAAATAAATTATTTCGCTGGCATTAAAAAATTCATTTCGCCTCTACTAGTAATATTAATTTATCATTCTGCAACCGATGATTTGATCTTGAATCGACGCGATTAAATTTCCACAGGAGTCGAACGAACGTAGCCGAGAGCAACGGCAAGCAAAACGACGGTAAAATTGGCAAGAAAAGCAAGTGGAAGCCGGAGGAGAATTCTAACGAAGTGGTGTTCCCATTGTTAGTGAAACAGATATTCGTCGATCAACAGTCGAACATAAAGCAACCAAGCGAAGCCGCGTTGCCATCAATGCACGAGACCATCAGTGATCTTTATGGGGATAACTCCGAAATGCAAAAAATAGCAGAATCGATCTCAAGGGTGAGTCTATCAGACTACCTAGTACTGACAGAATAATGGTTATTAAGTTAATCAAGATCAATCATTACGTGTTCTTCGATCATTTCAGTTATTCATTAGTTATGGTTACTGGATCGTTTAGTAATCATAATCGTTTTAGTCGTGAACATGATTTCACGTTACTTGCAATTGTTGATCATGAGTCAGATTACTTTTTGCGCAGCTTTGAACGCTAGTTTCCGGTTTATATAAACAGTTTCATCTTCTAATCAGATTGTACTAATTTCTTTAATTTTCCTTTTAACTGTGCGCAGGAGATTTTGGAAGGAAACTTGAACGTACTCTGGGACCACGTGAAAGGCTTAGAGGAATGCAAAGAAACAATTAAAGAGGCCATTGTGTACCCCTTTAAGTATCCAACGCTTTTCCGCGGTCAGTGGTCCTGGAAAGGCATACTAATGTACGGCCCACCGGGTACAGGTAGAACGCAGATCCCTTGATTCGTAGGTGAATCTTGACAACAGATGTCTGCGTGCAATGATGTTGATATTGCCGACGATGTTATTTATTCCTTAACACGTTCCGTGCCGAGCTTTTTTTACTCGAATCTTCACACTTTGATATTTGACTAAAACTTGATGTATTACGTGCAATTATTAATTCTCGTACACATAACAACGTAACAAAAACTTATCAACGCCCATTCTTGCGGTGGAAATTGATTCTTCGGTTCTAAATTTCTTGTAAACAATTTGTTCAGTTCACTAAGTAAACATGCAAGCGTGTACCATCGATGGTACACGTGGCACGGAACGTGTTAAATATAGATAATTTGTAGTTGCCCGGGAAAGTAGAAATCCGTATCAATTTTATTACTTGGCAATAAGCATATGTAAGACGTTTTAAGAACAAATTCAAAGTTGATAGCCGGGATGATGTGTTTATAATAAGGATTAAATAGTTTTGTCATATACCAAGTTTACAAAGCCTTAAGAACAAAAAATACCAACAGGAAAAACGATGCTGGCCAGGGCAGCCGCAACCGAGTGCAGCTGTACATTCTTCAACGTGTCAGCCAGCTCGTTGATCAGCAAATGGCGGGGGGACTCTGAAAAATACGTTCGCGTGAGTAGATGAAAATATAAGAATACACAACTGTATCGTATTGATTTCGTCGGGTGCTATCCCGATTAAATATGTTTATCCCAAGCAATTTAAAAATCTCGACTATGTATAAAGAATTTTTATAGGCTAAGATTGTCCAGTGGGAACAAAAAATAATAGTTTACATTAGAAGTGCGCTGCGGCATTGGAAAGTGTTTGAGATTTAAATGCCGATTAAACTATACAGGCTCTTTTCGATCTCGCCTACGCACGAGCACCCACGATTATCTTTGTCGATGAAATTGACTGGATAGCAACAAGTGCAGATTGCTCATCCGAACCAGCTAGGAGATTTCGAGCAGAACTGCTCGCCAGGATGGACGGATTGATGACCACCGATGACCGTAATGTTGTACTGTTGGCTGCCACTAATGTGCCGTGGTGAGCATACCGTAATGATAATTTACAGAAACGATCAACGGTATAACCAAAGTGCGTTAACAGTCATAATTTTGCTCTCCTAGGAATCTAGATGCAGCACTGCTGAGACGTATAGATAGAAGCATTTCCGTACACATGCCTAATAGCAAGATCATACTCGACATGCTCAAGACTTACACTTCGTCGGTGATAGATGAACAGAAGTTGCGGGACTTTGTAGATAGAAAGTTATGTAATTATTCTGGATCTGATATCAAAAAACTTTGCAAACAAGCATGGATTCATCAGGTTACTCCAGTAATCAAGAGTTTAGAGGAAAACCAAGTACTATTAACGGATGTTACTTATGAAATAACGTCTTTGAAATATTTGGAAATGGCAGCGAGAAATATATATCCTGCAGTCGGGGAAAAAGAGATATCTGCATTTTATGACTGGCAAAAAAATAGAATAAGAGCCTAAAATAATTATTCAATCACAACAAACACTTATACAATCAACAGTTTTTTCTTTTTTCTTGATTCCTTTTAGCTTGTTTCAAGCCTTGATAATAACCTGTAAAAATTACCAGAATCAATCTCGTAATATCAGAAATTCGAGAACAAAGTATCTACCTGTATGAAAACCACTGATGTATCATGACATTAGCATACTCGAGAGTGCGTCCGCATCATTGTCTGGAAGTCTAAAATATTTATCTGTTAAATCATCATATCCATCTAAAATGATAATTGTAATAATCATATGTTCTATGCTGCCTGCTAAAATTGAATCCCTGGTAACAAAAATTCGTGTAATAAATTAATCCACGAATTATCGTCTACCTACTTAGTCATTAATTGCGGTGGCAATGGAGGTGCAGGCGGCATTGAATCTATTGCCGAAGCGAAAGACGGACCAGCCATAAAGTTTTGCCTGTATACTTTTGCGTCTTCTCCGTCGCATTCCAATTTTTCTCCAGTACAGCTTTTCGAACTTGCAGTTGCGAAATTCGCATCTTTTGTTTGCGCAATTTTCCTGTTCTGTTTCTCTGCGAAGGCCTGTCCTTGCTGAACTATCTGACTCGGTATCATGGGACTCTGAAAGAGAGCTCAACTTCACTTTCTTCGTGTTATCGTATCTTTACCATTAAAATCATCCATGTAGCACACTATAGACGTTCAATTTCATACGTCTACTAAAAGACAATCCCTACAAAATTATTACCTACAAATTTTACAATGTACGTTTCGCTGTTCTCTTGTAGATTTTCGATATTACAGCTTCATAAATATCCCCATCTTCTGAATATCTCGCATGTTAAGGTTCTCCTATAATCCATTTTTGTTCGGGGAAAATGTACGTTTAAGTCAATGTAATTGTTCAAAAAGGCCATTGTTGTACATTTTTAATCGTTATGGTAATTGTATTCAAAGATTATTTTCTAATAATTAGATTAAACAAGTTTTTCAAACAAGATTTCTTCTAGCAAAAATGAAAGAAACTAAAATAAACTAAATTTTGTAGAGAAGACTATGTATAAAAGTCTGCACTCTAGCGAAATAAAAATTGTCCACGCCAAGACACAATAGCCATAAGTCCCTTTATTCTTCTTTATGGTAGTCATTCTATCAACTCTGTAAGAAAATATAAATCTTCATTTAGTTTAACAATTAAGTATTGGATTTTTATTTGAAAATAAATTACAGAACAAGTAAATTGCGGATCACTCAATTTCTCTCGCGTCGCGGCATTTTATTTACAATAAAGAATATATAACTATAATAACAATATATAACTATAATACAACTCAATACAATTACATTTCAGATCTTTCAATTTGAAATGTTGCCGATCTCGACTCTTCGATTGTCTGTTGGTAACACTCTTCCGTGGTAACACCTATCTTCCATTATTTTTTAAGGAGTTGTTCACAACAGGGCAGTTTCACATTACAGCGACTTGATTTGGACAGGTCGCCGTAACAGTATTAATACTCGCGTAGTCAACGTCGGGTCACCGTTGTCTCGGAATTTACCAGGTAATAGTAATAAATACGGTACGGAATGTGCCAAATGTTTATGATTTATATGCAATGAACATGCAATAAAACACATTAACATTATATATACTCAGTGCACATAAACTTCTGGACTTTCTGGTCTTCCTGGACCTTCTGGAACTTCCGCGACTTGTTCAATAATTCAAACGCCGCACGAATCCGTGCCGACCTATATAAAAAATATATTATTTGCCTGATACAGGCATTGGTAGCAAACGTGATAAAGCATTTGACAATATTTCATGTACATACACACTCGCTTTTCACTATTTGGAATTTCGTTTTCTACGAATCTAAATGAATCTATTTGGATAATTCGCTGCATTTGTATGCAGGAATGTTATAATCTCTATCTATGGTGTTAAGTAAAATAATAACGATATTTTGAAGTTGATAAATTAAAATCATTCCTTCACTGCTAGGTATTTGTTAGGAACGGATCGTCTGCTTCGTAACATCTGCAAATAGCGCTGTTTCTTGTAGTGACAAAATCCTNATATAACTATAATAACAATATATAACTATAATACAACTCAATACAATTACATTTCAGATCTTTCAATTTGAAATGTTGCCGATCTCGACTCTTCGATTGTCTGTTGGTAACACTCTTCCGTGGTAACCCCTATCTTCCATTATTTTTTAAGGAGTTGTTCACAACAGGGCAGTTTCACATTACAGCGACTTGATTTGGACAGGTCGCCGTAACAGTATTAATACTCGCGTAGTCAACGTCGGGTCACCGTTGTCTCGGAATTTACCAGGTAATAGTAATAAATACGGTACGGAATGTGCCAAATGTTTATGATTTATATGCAATGAACATGCAATAAAACACATTAACATTATATATACTCAGTGCACATAAACTTCTGGACTTTCTGGACTTCCTGGACCTTCTGGAACTTCCGCGACTTGTTCAATAATTCAAACGCCGCACGAATCCGTGCCGACCTATATAAAAAATATATTATTTGCCTGATACAGGCATTGGTAGCAAACGTGATAAAGCATTTGACAATATTTCATGTACATACACACTCGCTTTNTATATTATTTGCCTGATACAGGCATTGGTAGCAAACGTGATAAAGCATTTGACAATATTTCATGTACATACACACTCGCTTTTCACTATTTGGAATTTCGTTTTCTACGAATCTAAATGAATCTATTTGGATAATTCGCTGCATTTGTATGCAGGAATGTTATAATCTCTATCTATGGTGTTAAGTAAAATAATAACGATATTTTGAAGTTGATAAATTAAAATCATTCCTTCACTGCTAGGTATTTGTTAGGAACGGATCGTCTGCTTCGTAACATCTGCAAATAGCGCTGTTTCTTGTAGTGACAAAATCCTTAAACTAATAAATAAACGTGACCAATAGCTGATACTTATCAAAAAAAGAGCACCACGTTATCGGCAGTTCACGAACTTAGAGACTTATTAATAAAAATCGAGTATTGTGTATACTTTATTATAACCAAGTCCACTAGTTTAGAACTATTATCATAGACGAGGTATAAGGGTAGATTGGACATCCAATGCATTATTTTATCACTCAGAAATGAGGCTTTAGAATTCCCATTACCATTCCCGTGTCGCGTACATTCTTACCGATCGATATTTCAAATATTCAACACAGACTTAGGATCCATACGGACATTGCATCTCATGGCCTTCTCTATCTCAGTTTGAGGGGCTCTGAAGTAAAGCTGTCGGAATACTTGAATATATTTGAGCAGCTCGAAATTCGGACCGAGCCGGCACTCGATGAAACCGAGTCGGTAAAACGAGCGGCTCGAAAGAATCGAGTAGCTCGAAATAATCGAATAGCTCGAAAGAATCGAGTAGCTCGAAACAGAAATATCCAAAAATGTTTAAAATAAAGCAGTAATGTATTGTACACGAAGAACAGTTTATTCGGGTTACTCAGGACGTTCCATCATAGCGAGCCGCTTGAAATGCGTCCGAATTGCTCGCTTACATTCGAGCTGCTTGATTTCTCTGTATCTATTCAATTCTTTCGAGTCTCTCAGTTCGGATAGATTATTCTGTCACACCAAAATGGGAAGCTAAAACCGTATTATAGCAGTAAATCTAGCCACAGAGTTGGTTAGGATCCGTACAGAGAAGAGACATTGCATCTTATGAGTTTTTCTGTTTCAGGTATTTGGGTACCACAAGGGATTGAAAAGATTACGATGTCAAACATCGTTTGACGATGTTTCACGTTGATATTTTACGTCGTTATACGTTATTTACATTGTATCACGTTATTGTTTAAAATAATTTTACGTTGTCTGCAGTTGTTTTACATGGTTTTTACGCTATTTTACGTAGTTGTTTAAAATAGTTTAACGTTGTTTTACGTTCTTTGACAAAATTTCACGTCGTTGTTTTAAGTTGTTTTACGCCGTTTTACGTTGTTCTACATTGTTTCACGTTGTTTTACGTTGTCTGGAGGTGTTCGACATGTTTTTTAAGTTGTTTTACGTTGTCCTTCATTGATTTACGTTGTTACTTTACGTATGTTTACCTATGTTTACGTTTGCGTTGTTTTCTGCTATCTCACGTTGTTGTTTTAATATGTTTTACGTTGATTTGCGTTGATTTACATTGTTTCACGTTGTTGTTTTACTTTTGTTTAGGGTGCTTTACTGTTTTACGTTTTTTACGTTGTTTTACATTGGTGTTGTTTCACGTTGGTGTTTCACGTTGGTGTTTTACGTTAATTTACGTTGTTCTATGTTGTTTTCTGTTGTTTAACGGTGTTGTTATAATATGTTTTGCGTTGTTTTATATAGATTTACGGTTTTTACATTGTTTTACGTTATTTTACGTTGCTTCACGTTGTTGTATAAAACAGTTTTAAGTTTTTTACGTTGTTTTACATTGTTTTACGTTGGTTTGGAATGTAACACAACTCAATTCAATTATATTATAGATCTTTGAATTTGTAATGTTGATCGTTCAACGGTCCAATCTCGACTCTCGACTGTCTTGACAATCTCGTCTACGCACGAGCACCCACGATTGCCTTTGTCGATGAAATTGACTGGATAGCAACAAGTGCAGATTGCTCATCCGAACCAACAAAGAGATTTCGAGCAGAACTGCTCGCCAGAATGGACGGATTGCTAACCACCGATGACCGTAATGTTGTACTGTGTTGGCTGCCACTAATGTGCCGCGGTGGGCATACTGCAATGATAATTTACAGAAACAATCATCGAAGTGCGTTCACAGTCATAATTTTGCTCTCCTAGGAATCTAGATGCAGTATTGTTGAAATGTATAGATACATATATCTGTTAGCTAGATCACAGTTGGCATGCTCAAAAGACTTACATTTCGACGGTGGTAGAGGAACAGGTATTGCGAAGCTTTGTAGGTAAAATCTTACGTGATTATTCTGGATCTGATATCAGAAAACTTTGCCAGCGAGCTTGGTATTATCAGGTTAATCCAAAAAAGTGTTCAGAGGAAAACCAAGTATCATTAACAAATGTTACTTATGAAATAACGTCTTTGGGATATTTGGAATCCGCATCATTAAATATGCGTCCTATAACCAGATGTGCGGAAAAATATTGGAGCTGTCATGTAAATAATGGAGAGTGATGCTAGGATAATTTATTAATACGAATAACAAATACTTATACAATCAACAGTTCTTTCTTTTTTCTTGATTCCTTTTAGCTTGTTTCAAGCCTTGATAATAACCTGTAAAAATTACCAGAATCAATCTCGTAATATCAGAAATTCGAGAACAAAGTATCTACCTGTATGAAAACCACTGATGTATCATGACATTAGCATACTCGAGAGTGCGTCCGCATCATTGTCTGGAAGTCTAAAACATTTCTCTGTTAAAGCACCGCATCTATTTAAAATGATAATTATAATAATCATATGTTCTGTGCTGCCTGCTAGAATTGAATCCCTGGTAACAAAAATTCGTGTAATAAATTAATCCACGGATTATCGACTACCTACTTAGCCATTAATTGCGGTGGTAATGGAGGTGCAGGTGGCATTGAATCTATTGCCGAAGCGAAAGACGGGCCAGCCATAAAGTGATGCCTGTATACTTTTGCATCTTCTCCGTCGCATTCCATTTTTTCTCCAGTCCACCTTTTCGAACTAGCAGTTGCAAAATTCGCATCTTTTGTTTCCACGTTCTTTCCATTCTGTTTCTCTGCAAAGGCCTGTTCTTGCTGAACTACCTGACTCAACGTACCATGAGACTCTGAAAGAGAGCTCAACTCCACTTTCTCCGTGTTACCGTATCCTAACCACCAAAATCATTTGTATTAACTCACTGTAGACATTCAATTTCGTACGTCTACTAAAAGAGACAATCCCTTCAAAATTATTACCTACAAATTTTACAATGCACGTTCCACTGTTCTCATAGATTTTTGATATTACAGCTTCATAAATAGCTCCATCCTCTGAGTATCTGGCACGACAAGGTTCTCCTACAATCCATTTCTATTCAGAGAAAGTATACATTCAAGTCAATGTAACTAATTGGTCAAAAAGGAGAGTATGATAAATTGTTTATCCTTATTGTAATTGTATTCATAGAGTTTTGAAAAATTAGATTAAACAAGTTTCCAACTCAAAGATTTCTTGTAGCAAAAATGACATGAACTAAATTTTGTACAAGAGACTATAAAAGTTTGCAACCTAATACTTATAATGTGTGTATCAACTGTTGATATTATTATATCATAGTGACCTTGTAAGGTTTAGTCGCATGCTGAGATTGCTTTAGATTCTGTATCTTCTGTTTAGTTAGAGAACTTGCAGTATCCATGCCCATCCTCTTAGCAACTTCCTCCTTCGCTAAATTCACTGCTTTGTCATATGCCTTGATTAAAGCGCTGTCATCCCAAACATCTTCGCTATCTGTAGTTGTAGTCTTGAGAAAGAGTAAAAAAACAAGAAATATTATAAATAGACTATTCATAGTACTGTTGGTACCGGTACATTAGTATTATATTAATTAACTGGCACACTAAATAAACATTTGGAGCATATACATACATTTCCGTTTCCTCGGACGTAAAGAACATCAGCAGCATCATCATCCATTTCACTTAATCGCATATAAGAGAATGAAAAGGAATATAATAACCACACTTGTGAGATTTATGTTTCTATCCTGTCAATAGAGATCATCCAAAGCTACTTAATTTTGATCACAGTGAAACTGTGTAATCGCTATTGCCATCAGTTACTACAATAAACAGAGATTAAACTATCATTTTTTAGTTTTACGTGCGGAAACAAGTTAGTTGCTGTTCTGAGACTTCTTTTATGTTTACAATAGTACCTCACCATAGTACGCCAAGACTGAATAGGCAGATAGAGAAACTGCTTGTCCTTTTTTACGATTGGTTTGATGCTTCACAGCTAAACAGTGCTGCCCTCGCACTGTTAGGCAAAGAGAGAAAGTGGTGAGTAAGCAAGAGAGCATGACATCACAAGCGAAACAAATCATACCGACGACCAATGTAGCTTGTTTCACTTTACATTCTTGCGATCTCACTCTATTTGCGAACGTCTTGAAACGACAATCATTTCTACAATTATTAAAATTTTTGAAAACCCATAAGTTACATTCGTAGCTAATGGTTTCTAGTTTATGAAACTACAGAATTTTTTAATTTAGCCATTCCAGCACTTGTCAACCGCGGCCAACAATTAATATTCTATTCTACGAGAAGGAGTTTTGTAAGCAACTAGGAATATAAGAAAATATTTGTGGGCTGGATAACATAGGAAATGGTATTTTACTATCGCATTGACATTATCACTTTTGGAGTGAACAAGGCTGGAATAAATTAATTTTATTATTAAGCAGAGGATCCTGTGGAACACAGGAGGTTGTTGTTGCTTCTATGGTTCGATCAGAAAAGGCGAATAATCAATGCGTCTTTGCGATATCGAAGCAACTTGGCTGAGAAGACCACCACCGCCATTCCCATCTTGCGCACTTCCCAGCCCGAGATTTGGATTTGTGACCTGCCGGCCTAGCGGACCCGGGGCAGAGTTCGAAATTATTCGAATTGTTTCAAATAAATATTTCAGTAATATAATTGTCCGAATGAATTCTTGTCCGTCGAATATTTTATTCGGATAATGATCATTCATTATCCCACTAATAATTTCGTAAATTATTAGTTATTTATAGGAAAGTAGAAAATGTAATTAAAATAAGTATTACACTTTTTTAATAACATTAATCAAGCCAATTATTATTTTCATTATTTTATTATTATTTTCATCGTTTAAATGTGTGTATCACATGCATTTGTTATCCCTAAATCGAATTAAGCGATGCGTAGAAGGAATGAGGGTATATACATACTCGATTCTCGATCATAAAAGAAGCCTAATACACACCTGCTAATTGGCAACCTGCTGTGCAAGATGTGCAGTTAGCAATCGATTCAATTTCATTTTTCATTTCAATTTTCTTTCTTTATTATGTTTTGTATAGTGTAGCTGTTATACAATTTCAATTTTCTAAGATTTTGTAAAGATGTGTGTGCGTGTGTGCATGATAATAATTCTGAAGTATTATTATTATTTTCAAGTTTGGCAATATAGTAAATTAAAAATATTTACGCATATTGCTCTGTTCACTACTTTAACGTAAATAATTTCATTATAAATAATAGTATGTACTTCAAAGTTTTTTTGTTTTTTTTTTACTTGAAATTTATATCAAGTTTTTCAGTTCTCAACTGTCTGATAGAAATGATTCGATGATTGAAATTGATATTTTTGCCCTACGTTCTTGTCTTAAGGGTAGTATTCTGAATGCAATTGCTATTTTTCCAGCAATGTTTAGGTATTTTTTAAAAATAATTTTTTGCATTATGTTTCCTCACACAAATTTACGAATATGTGAAATACATAATGCATCTTTTGGAAGTAAAAACAATTAAAATTACGTGAGTTATATTCTGTTTTATTGAGAATGTTTTACAAAAATTGTATTTACTGTTGGCACGATTTCGATTTTGTTTCTGATCTAAAACATAAAGATAAGGAATATTCTTCTACTTACTGAATTTCTGACGGGTCAATTAATTTGTTACTACCACTTTCATAGCTTTGTGAATTCTTATTCCTATTAGCTCCACTTTTATTCCAGGAAAGTGTTTATACTGTACAAAGAACTAGACAAAAAATACCATATTCTTAGAAAATAACGTGTTGACCTACTCGCATGTTGCAAAAGAGAGACGCTAAGGCATGAACATTGACCTCAACAATGTTTGTCTCTCAACTGTGAGGAAATACATACCAGTCGGATAGTCAGTTTACCTCATGCAACGAATGCTTGTTCGATCTTTGACTTTCAATTTATTGCGAAAGTCTTCCGAGTGCTCGCATTCGCATATTCACAAGTCATCAAACATCGTTCAAATAATAATAGCGCATATATTCTTAACAGACTACTATTATGATAACGTTTGATCTCAAGATCGCGAGAACATTATTACCGATAGCTGTACAACTGGTTCTCTTAGATCCCGATAAACGGTTTCGTATTTACGGGGTAAACGACGCGACGCGTCGCGTGGCTTTTGCAAAATAAACTAAGGAAAAATTGATGTTTTTAGTATTTAGAATTTAATTATATAAATTACAATTTAATAGTGTAGTGTTATCGAATTAATTTATTTGATATTTTATGTGCAGTCTATTACAGTCATAATAATTATAATACAACAAAATTTAATCAAGTGTCAGATTGTTCTACACATTTATATTGTTAAAAGCTAGTTTAATAGCTAAATTTATTCTCATCGTTTATTCTCATTTACATTTTTATACAATCTTGTTGGCTGTAATTAATTTATCTGTTAGAAATTTAAAAATTTGGAAAAATAATGTCTCTTAAATTTGTTTACTAGAAAATATAAATAACTAACAAAAGATACTAAAAT